TCAAAACATCAAATTCATCTTTTTATTCGAGATCGAGACAATGGAATTCAGTCGAAAAATGAAACAGAATGATCTATCCCATGTAGTCGTATATTAGTTTTTTTTGATTTCATAAGATGCTTCAAAATGACATTATATGATATTTTTGTATATTATTATATGTCGAGGTATCGCGTGTAAGATAATAAACTATGGGGTGGTATATGATTATGGCAGGGCTATGTGGAACTGATACCTGTGTGGATGTTGCACTTTAACTAATGCAGAATTAAGTAAACGGAATTGTAATAAGAAATAGTAATATATTTCATACATTTCCAAAATAAACTAGATTCTTACTTTGCTTAAACATCATTCTCATATTAAATTAAAGGTAAAGAAGAAATAATGATGGAAACATTTATTCGTGACTCCAATTTTAACCACACCAGGACATTAATGTTTAATTAATCATAGCTTATGTTTTAGCAAAGCGAATGCATATTTCATCAGAATTTAGTTAGTTACTGCAACACTCATAATTGTGAAACGAAGGATGTCTTTTTTTTCATCTAGTCCGGAGTATTTCTACTCTTCAATCCAGCAGTTGTCTTGCATTTTACATTATAAAACAGTAAACTTCAGTCATAGTTTTAACTGGGTGTTCGCACCTGAGACTTCTGATAAAACAGAATGGGTGCATAGTGGAATACATGCCATCTGTTATCTGTCCATCTTCGTAACCCATCTTAATTTCTGTAATAAAGAACTCAATATATTTTTGTAGAGATATTCAATCGTCATCGTCATCTGCCAAGGAATCAGGTTTGAGATGAAGAACGATATGTTTTAAAACTACATAAAAAACACAAATAGCTCACTCTTAATTGCACATTTGAGTAACTTTTTGTTGTCATATCGAGTTTGTTGTGCATCATTTATTCGTTATGAGAAAGAAAATTCAAGTTGATGAACATGCGAGAAATTAACATACCAAGAAGATTTATGTCACAACTTACCATTTGGAAGTCAGAAGCTGGTATTTGATGACATTTGCCTATTACGAGATTTTCATAAATTTCATTTTTTTCGTCTTTCGTATAATATGCGTGATTTTCTTAACAATATTCAACATTCTTGCTAGCACATAATTTTGAATCCAGGCTAGGAAAGTAGAGACTAATAGAAAATTTCAAGCCCTACCAGAATATATAATTATTTTTGGAGAATGTATATGTAGATTCATAATAAATTCAAAGACACGATTGAAACTTTTTTTTTCAAGCGGATATATCTTAGGAAAATACGTGAAAATTTACACTTCAATCTCACTTAAGTCTCTACTTAATCTTAGTTACGAGTCGGTTAAGTTCTTAATGTTTCATCAGAAACACCTCACTTAGTACTACTCGCAGTAAAAGTTTGAAATTCTGCAAATGAATATATTTTGTGTTCTCTTAATAACTTACGGTTCTTCATTTTTTTTTCTAGCTACAGTACTCTTGGTGAGTTGTTACCTCTCGCTGAAAGTGATAGCTTCGGGCTCAAAAGGTGAAGAAAACACCGGAGTATGGATGGTATAGACCTAAAACAAAGGGTGGTTACGAGGTTGTTTGGGCAGTTTGGCGTTTAAAATTCTGACATATTTACGGTGAAACATCTGCATCAAGATTTCGAGGGCATAACTCTCAGTCAAGAGAACGTTTATCTTCGAGTGAATCGAAACTAGTTGAATTATCAATTTTCTGGTCAAAATCAGCTGTAGTCAAAGTATTGGTTGGTTAAGATATAAGACGCTAGGCCTATCTACAATAAAGATCTGAGCTACTGATTCAAAATGATCTAAAATAAAAATACAGCACACTCCACGATTTATGTAACTGATATGAAATAGCAAAATAAATATATTTTTATACAAAAATGCTATTTTGAAGCATTATAGAGATGTCGCGGTCCGAATTAATAGATTTTTATTAGTGCATTTTTCAGCCACACTCCGTTCACTTTCGATTTTTGTCCATTGGTATTGTAGGCAAACGAAATGAGACTTGCATTGATTCTTTCGTTTTATTTTTTATTCATATTCTTGTCGAAGTACTCTCCTGATAGAATGTCATTAACTCTTGTTTTTATTGAGAAAAATATCTTTTGGAATTAGAAAATACCAGTGAATTGGTTTCGAACATGTCAGATATTTTTCTTCAAATTTTGATCATTGCTCTAGTCATTTTCTACAATATTGCACCTGTATACGTAAGTCGCTTTTTACTATCACGACTAACATATTCAACCATTAAATTGTGCTTTCTGCGAATAGCCGGTATAAAAGAAGGTTTTTTACAACTGAATACTAGATAAGACTTTGATCGTACTGTGTTGCTTTTCAGTTGTACTTTCAATTTTATTTCGTTAACCAAAGGTTGCCATATACTTCTACATGAAAAACAACTTTGTTCTATTTTTTTCTCGGTTAGACTTTTGATGATCCAGATGACTCGCTTCAACTCACCCTCGAAGACAATGTTGGTATGTATACAATGAATAAATGAATATGGTTCGCGTTAACGCACGTGTTTTTATCGTTTAAGACGTAAAGCTATCTGTATTTTCAAAAGTAAACGTCCGTTTATCTCATAAAGGGATAACAGAGTTAATGCCTTCTCGCGTTATTTCAGCTGCTCAATATCAACGATTATCACTGGTAAATACTTGTCCCAAGTTGTTCTTCAGCATAGAAAACTTCACATCTAATTTAGGAAGCACAATCAAACCACCTTCATTATTATTCACTCAAAATAACTTATCGCCGTCATTCAACTCAAGATTATATTATGACATCTGTCCCATTAGTAAGTAGTCATGTTAAATGTGTTTTATTCCTTCGCGATTTTATTGAGAAAAGTATCTTTTGGAATTAGAAAATACCAGTGGATTGGTTTCGAACATGTCAGGTATTTCTCTAGTTACCGATATTTTAGTGTCTTGTTGTTCAAGTACAATTTCATTACCAAATATCATTGCTCATTAATGAGAACGGTTGTGCTGTCGGCGTTTATTTGACAACTGGCAATTCAACTTGCAGTAAAACATCAATATCAACAACAACAGGAATAAATCAAACTAATATCCCTTACAAAGTCGGCTTACGAATGGATTTAACTGAAACTGGACCACAGTGAGTACATTAGAATGGAAGGCTTCCAAGTGAAATTAGATTCACTAAAATATTTCACTAAAGTATCTTGATATTCTTTTGAATTAATTTGAAATTCACTATCTTAGACTTAATTATGCAAAAATGACAGCTAGTTGTAATAATAAAAACACTACATTTCTATAGTTTTACTATATTGCTCTTAGCGATTGCCTCTGTTTATTCATTTTTATTTCTCGAATTTCATCCTTTTATTTGTAACAAAAAAAAGCATCCCTCGTTCTGTTCTTGGTCATACAATATTCCAGAAATTTTAAGTTTAGTTTTCAATACTCTTTGTTCAAAACAACTTTAGTTGGGTCATCTCTAGTCATGTTATTACTTTCTAGACCTGATACGCAACATTTTCTTGAAAAATTACGTCGGGAGCAAGAAGCAAAGCAAAAATTTCAAGAAAATGATAATAGATCATTTTTTCTCAAATACTGTAAGTCAACAAAAACAACTATAATATTTTTATGCGTTAATGTTTGAGCTTTTAGGGAAATATATAATACCAGTAGTCGCTATTGTATTGTTGCAAGGTGTTTTCGCAGATAATGGTGGACAACCAAGTGGCGGTGGTCGTGAACAAAGATAACTTATCACACTCTCCTCTCAACTTGTGTTAGTTAATGAGCAACAATTGATGTGATATAGAAAAATATTTTGTTTTCGGTTTTGTTACTGTTATATTTTTAGTTATTATTTTATATTTACAGAACGTCAGAAATCTGATTTCGTTTATACTAGTAAATTTCTGTTGTTAGGCTTCGACAGGTTTGTGTTCCTCGACATATATGATCGTTTCAGCATTTACGGTTCGATAGTATGTATCTCGACGTGGGCTGCCTATGAGCATTAAAACATTTATTGTAACTGATCGCTGTTCAACGCCATAGCATTCTCCGTAAATATATTGTCTTCCTAGAGACAATTAGTTGTCCGATAAGACTAATTGTACTACACAAATAGATGCAAATATGCTGTTGTTGTTTTTTCCTTGCTACTAAAGTTTACTGTTTCATAAAGTAAAATGCAAGACAACTGGTGGATTGAAGAGTAGAAATACTCCAAATTAGTTAAAAAGATGACATGCTTAGTTTCACACGTATCATTATTTCTTGATTACCTTTAATTTAATATGAGAATGATGTTTAAGCAAAGTAAGGACCTATTTTATTTTGGAAATGCATGAAATATATTAGTATGAACGTTATTTTTATTTTAGCTATGAGTTATTTTTTATTAAACTGTTCGTATCGGACCCACTGTTCAACGTATTTTGCACAATAAATCTTTCATCGCTGTACGCGCAAAAAGTCTTCTTTTTCGTTGACGATAGGACTAAAATCTAAGCTTTATATTCAGCAGTGATGACTCGAGGCTTCCGGAGAGTGTGGGGGTTTAAATTTTAGAGTAAAAACTTAATAAGCAGGTGTGTACTCGACGCCTGTGTTATTCAGCTGTTCGACGACCAAAATCTGTGGACCGAACAGTAACAGTTCTTAAAAAATACGTACTTTGTTTGGAAAGTATGCAGTTTTGCACAGAACGAATAGGTCTAGATCTCTTTCAGATGTTGTTTAGATTTCGGAAGATTCTTCAAAAAAAGTGTCGCAGATTACGGTAAAAGATCCAAGAAATGATAGTTGCCGGTTATAGAAAGAAGTTTATTTCTATTCTTAGCAACCAGAACAGAAAATTGATAAAATATGAAAAGAGAACAGAATTATCCTAGAATGAAAAAAAAAATTATTTTTGAAATTTTTTTATTTATTGGAGAACGCGGTTAAAATATTGATTTTCTGAAAACATGAAAAAAGAACGGATTTAGTAATACCTAGAAAGATCTTCCTGAGAGAAAAGTATGACTTGATCATGCGATGACTAAAATAACAAATATCCGCCGACCACGCAGCTAGCGTCAAAATCGTCAACATAAATTATCAAATGATCGTTTACCACTTGGAAAAAAATCAATCTTACTAGAACACATTACTAGTTTTTGTTAATACTCAGGTTTACTCAGATGTAAATATATATGATTTTCGAGCATAGTCGAATTTCTATCAATCACTAAAAGTAGCTTAAAGAATATCTCGAGAATAATCTGGTTATTAATTATTTAATTAATCTGTTCTCTTTTCACTTATTTTATTTCAAAATTCCAAACCATTCGCTTTTACATTATTTATTTTCATAAATGAGAACTGTTCACTTTTCAGTCATAAAACCGTGCTCTTTTCGATTTTTTTAGTGTTGAATATGTGTCTGTTGTATATTCCAGATAACTCTGACATTGTTTCGACCTTTCGTTAAGTACCAATGTTAAAAATACAAAATATCTTACTAGAATTCGGATGAATTGTCGAATACTTAAACAAATCGTCACAGAATTTTTACAACATAGTATTAAAAAAGGAACACTTGTATATATATTTAACATTCGAATATCTTTTTGTATTGAACACTTACTCTATGTAATAAACGTCTACTACGTCATTTTCGCTCATACGACTGTTCAATTGTTCTGTTCTGTTTGCTGAGAAATAGAAATAAACTCCTTTCTATAACGAGCGACTATCATTTCTTGGACTTATCAACGATAATGTGTGATACTCTTTTGAAGCATCTTATGAAATCAAAAAAAACTAATATACGACTACATGGGATAGATCATTCTGTTTCATTTTTCGACTGAATTCCATTGTCTCGATCTCGAATAAAAAGATGAATTTGATGTTTTGA